GCTATAGGTGCCAGAATTGGGGTATGTTTGAGAATTGATAGCAATTTTTAGGAAATAAGTTCCAGAGCTTACTTACTCGCGAAATTTTCCATTATTATGGGAGGATATGCAGATTAGGATTAGAAAATCAAAGGGATAAGTCAGGAAATGGGCAGAGTTGGGGTAAAGATCGGTTTGAGGGAAAGGGTGAGAAGAAGAGTTGCTGGACTTACAAGGGTTCATAGCAGTAAAAATATAGGGTCGTGAATGTTCAGTTAAATTTTAATCTTCCTGTCCACTCTATGTTATATTCAAGTAAAACTGAGTTAACCTCAGAGCAATGTGATAGACCCGCTTAACAGGAGATTTGGCAAGATTACAAAGTAGTACTGAGTTCTTCAGTCCGTGAAAGTAAAAGACCAGACACAAAGTAATGTACAAATAAGCAGTGTTTATTAAGATATAAATGCACAGTGTGTTTGTACTTGCTCTTACGGACGTAGAATGGTCACCTTTACTGGATGAAGTATTTTATAATTTCTACCAGAATGTCTAAAAGCAAGGTTTCCATATGACTAGTCACCCTCATTAAAGCATAAGGGAGGCCATAACCTCGAGATATCATCTGAACTCCCATTGAAGGATACTGTTGTCAATATTCGTATAGCATTACATCCATTCCTCCCATGAGCAGGCCACCCTAGTGGCACATCAGTATGTTTGCCGACTTCTACTGCTAGAAACCGGATTTTGATAACTGTGGTGGGCAAATGCACAGACAGCCCATTGTCTTGCTGTAGGTCACCTGATCAAACAACTGATGCCAATAAGAAAGTGTATGACGAAATCAGTGTTGTTAGTAATAAGAATATATGCGCTACTTATAGGAAACTTTAATTTTAGATAGGTTGATTAGGAATGGATTGTGATTCGTCTAGAGTAATGTACTAAAGGTTTCTGTACCAAATGGTCAGAGAGCCAAACAGAGGATAAGAATTATCATTGCATAATTAGATTTTATATCTTGCTACACGTTGTGACGAAAATAAATGAATTTTTAAAGCCAATTTTCAAATCATGAGACAATAATTATCATTAGTGAATTGGGATATTATTACGAAATTACAAGATGATGGTGATGTGACAGATTTAGAGAAGTATATTAAAAAGTCTCATTTAATTTTGCATAAATATATACTTGAAAAGAAGAAAAAAAACAGGGAATATCAAATCTAATTTGTTTAATAAAGACTCATAGGGGAAAATCGAGGATAAATGCTACGAGATTAAGGGATTTAAATTTACAAGAAGGATAGATGAGTGACAGAACTACAGGAAAACTAGGGTTTAAAAACATCAGGATGACCAAAGATGTTAGAACTAACAGCAAAGGTTTTTAAGTGTGTTAAAGGCAAGCATAATGTTAAAATGGGGGATTAGGCCCATAAAAGATGCTGATAGCAAGATATTTGTATTAAACCATGAGATTGCATGATCTTTGTGTTTTTTCGAGAGCAATATTCTCTACCCTGGGCATTCTATAGAAAATACTGGGATTGACCTGAATCATTTGGATAAGATCTTCTTGATGATAAAAAAAAAGACAGACTGAATTTATATAAAGCACCAGGACACACAGTGTTTTTCTTAAGTTGTTAAAGGAGGTCCAAGATCAGATATGCAAGCATTCGTTTTACATTTTTTGGTAGATATATGTATAGTGGGTAGGTGCTTCAGGATTGGAGAATTAGTAACGTGACTCCCTTTTTTAAAAAAAAGATAATTAGGAGTTGCTCTGGAACTTATCGACCAGAAACTCTTACTTCTTTAATAGGAAAATTTCTGGAGTATTATAATAGAAGACTTGCATAATTAGCTAGTGAAATTAGATGTCATAAAAGAAAGTCAACAGTAATTCACTAAGGGGAATCTTTCCTTATTAATTTGTTAACTTTTTACGAGGATTTTAAGTGTTATCTGGATGATTGAAATGGTGTGAGCTTGGTGGATTTAATATTTCAAATCGCATTTGAAAAGGTTCAAACAAAATATTATCTAAAGAAGTAAGCAAATCACTAGTAAATTGAATTTTAGTAAAACTGGATGAGAGAAGGCTAAAACTTATTATTAATGGAATCCAGTCAGACTGGACCCTTGTTACTAGTGGAAAGGGTTCAGATGAGGGCTACTAGGATGATCTTGAGGATTTAAGTATTTTCTTATTGGGATAGGTTAACATATTTTCTCTTGAGAAAAGAAGAGTAAGAGGTAACCTTATTTGTGTTAAATGTTTCCAGGGAATTTACAGGATAAAGGCTTAAATTTCTGTATACTCTATTCTTAATACAATAAGATGAGAGAACGAAACTCTGATATTTGGAAAAGACAAACTAGGCTTTGGTAAATTAAGATAATTTTATTTTTCTAACTTGGTGACTGGCTTATGGAATTAGTTGTTGTCAGCAGTAGCAGAGACCGACACTTAACAAAGGTTTAAAAAAGGAAATCAAGAATTTTCTGAAAAATACAAAATGGGTTCAAATTTTTAAATTTTCTCACGACTGGATGGGTGTGTAGAGATAGCCTTAAACGACCAGATGGTCCATTTTTATCTGTAGGTAATTTATAAACCCTGATATGTAACAAGACCATTTAGGCTGTCTATGTTCTTCTACCAGTTACATGTAGAAACATCTTTTGCTAAATCCAGTCCTGATCTTTGAAATACTGTATGATCAATACTATATTTCTACAAACTTGTACGTATAATTCACTATACAAACAAACATTAATTGTAAATCTTGTTTCTTAACATATTGTAACAGTAGTATGAGTTTTAAAATTGTTTCTATAATTATTTGATATTACAATCATCATTATTTCGTGAGAACAGAAGAGAGAACAGCATGTCAATAATACACTTCATCCATTAAAGTCACGTTCACTGGAGGTTGGGGTCATATTAACCAATAGGCTTTCACGGTTTGGGCTGATAGCCAACAATTTGAGGAGCGCATCTTTGGGAAAAAATTCAAAATGAGTTTAATATTGGATTTTTTTTATAATAAAAACATATTTCCATCCATTTCGTTGCATTTTAATTTATTTTTGTTCTTATGTTGATGGTTACTTTTCCTGGTGAGTCATTCGAGAAGGAAGAGGTGAATCTAACATTGTGGGCCTAGAGTGCCAGTTATACTTAATATTCACCAACACGTCCACCCACAAATGTAAACAGCTAAAGTGTGAAAATCAAATTAGATTTAACCCATGATATTCACATATCAATCTACAAAAGATTAAAAGGACTTGACAATATACACTACGGTATTAGAAGACTATTATTTTTATAACTCCTATTAAAAGGAAATTTTATGAAAATAATAAATCTGTAAGTAGGTTAACAAAGCTTAAGCCTTTGCTTTTTTCAGACCATCTTACCACACAAGTGCAGCCCCAAGAACAAACTGTTGACGTAGGAAAACTAGCCACCTTCAGTTGCTCATTTTCTGGATACCCTGTGGATCTTGTTACATGGTACAAAGATGGAGAGCTATTATCACTGGAAAATGTTAGAATACAAACATTAACAAACTTTTCTGTGTCATTAAATCCTGTACAGAGAGAGGATAAGGGCATGTATCAATGTGTTGTGTCCAATGACCAGGATTCTGCTCAGGGAACTGCTCAGCTTATGCTAGGTGGTAAGTTCTTTGTTTTAATTGGTATATCAGGATTTTATTTCTTTTATATGTAATTAATACTGACCATAATTACTCTAAAGGGCTGCAAGTGTATGTAAGTAGTAACTTTAAGGCAATGTTAAGTGACTATCATTATTCAATTAAAATAGTGCTGATGTTGTGAGTTTCACATGTTAGGCCTCACTTGGAATACTTTGTACAGTTTTGGTCTCCTTTAACTCAAATCTATGAAATAGTATTGACTTAGCATAAGAAATAATATAGCATAATGTGAGGAACAACAAGATGACCATGGCCCATTGTGGCTATCCCTTTTTTTTTTCTCAAATACCAATTTGTCTATATCCAGCACAGATACCCCAAGTTCTCACCAGTCTCTCTCTCTGGGATTCTCCAAATCCTGTTGCATCTACCATGTTTGAAGACAATCTACTCCAAAGTAGTAAATTAGCAAACAGTGGTTTGTAAGGACAATGATGTTTATTGTAGAAAAAATACTACATATTTTAACAATATCTTGGTCTGTCTTTTTCACATCTGAAATCGTTGTGTTAGCATAATCTGCTTCTATAGACGGGATTCTATTCAAAAGGCTTACTGCCCTGTTTGAAAATAAAATTGCCTAATTTACAGATGACTTCTACCTTATCAAATCTTAAACCTATGTCTCCTAGTCCTATCATTCTTACCATTAAATACGAAAAAAAGATGATGCATCAAGCCTATCAATCCCCTTTATAATTTTGAATATTTCAATCAGATTCCCTCTAATCCTTCTTTTTTCAAGAGAAAATCATTTGAAGGACCTTAACTTGTTCTCATATCACAACCCCTCCATCCCAGAAATCATCCTAATAGCTCTCCTTTGAATTCTTTCCAATAACTCAAAGTCCTTCTTAAATTAAGGAGCTCAAGGCTAAACACAGTACTCTGAATGAGACTTAACTATATATCTGTACAAAGAAACAATAACCTCCTCTGACTTATTTTCAATACTCCTGTAGCTACAACTCAAAATTATATTTGCCTTCCCACTTACAATTAACAAGACACTATTTGGAAGGCATAAGAGACTGATCAACCAAAACACCTTTTCTTTCATAGCATAATGAGCTGATTTCCATGAAGATGTTAATTATAGCTTAAATTAAGATAGTCCTCATGCATTACTTTGTACTTAACATAATTAAATTCCACGTGCCATTTATTTGTCCAATTATGCCAAATGATTTAAATCCTCTGTAAAACAACAGCATTCTCCTCATAACCAGTTACAAATGAAATTTAAATATCAATAGCAAATTTGACCAATTTATTGACCATTTCCTTATCAATATCACTAATGTATATCAAAAAGAGCAAGGGTCCCAACACTGTGCCCTAAGATGCACCACCTGCAATGCCAGTTGAAAGGGGTTAAGAGGACAGTTCTGAGAATGGATTAGTTTATAGGGATATGTTATGATCTATTTGTTTGTTTTCCTCTGAATAGTTTGTAAGGTTATCAGAGGGATCAATAGGATAAAGGCCTGAAATTTATTTTTGATATATTCTGTACAGGTTGAGAGGATACAAGTGTAAGATCTGGAAAAGACAGGCTACACTCTAACAGAGACTATTTTAATTTTTATCACGGGGTGAATAGCTTGTGTAATGAGTTGTCATTAGCACTAGTGGAGGCCCATGCTTTACAAGAATGTAAGAAGAAGAATTGATAATTTCCTGATAATTACTGTGTCTGCTTAAAATTTTACTTTTCTTCAAGCTGGGTGGATAAGTCTTGAAGGACCAAATGAATCATTATTATCTGTACATTTGGTACAGTGCATATCTTTTGATATATTTTTTACTTAAGCCTTTTACAGTATTTTTTTGTTGAGTAAAACTAATGATGATATTCTTTTGTTAACAATTTAGTTTTCTGGGATGATAACTTATCTCCACATACAGCTTACCTATCTTCTTTATGCATCTGTCTAAAAGAATTGCATGACACTAGTCTTAAAACAATTTCTACCTAATTTCATGTATTTTAACATGAATTATGCTGTTGCATGATAATGATGTCATCATGTGACAAAAGCCATCTACCAATAAGAGGGTGACACAACCTCCACCCAGCAGTAACTCCCCCTATGCACTTGCACTTGTGATAACTTCATTCTTTTCCATAGCACTGTATGACACAGACATGTTGAAAATTGTTCATCTTAAATTTACTGAGATTTCTGTTTGTTTATGAAATTTTAATTTTATTTTACTAAATTTATGTTAGTCATCATTGCATTATTTTACTACTATGAATTCACATGTTAATGCAACTTCTACTTACTCCTGTGTAATTGAAGAAAGCTCACAAACATGATCTATTTCAGATATGGTATCCAGAGGATTGTTAATCATGGAGAATGTGATGGCCATTGTACATTGGGTTGTGGAGTCCATTATGCAAGGCTTGATATCACAGATATGTTCCATTCTTTCACTTTTGCTCATGTCTTATGACACTTCACATTCTTTACTTAACAACCCTAACCTTCATGATTCATTTGTTTTCCTTCCTCCCCTGACATTGGTGCTTATGCTTCCTCCTTTCTAGACCAACATCATACCAGTAACTTTATGCCTTGCCCTCCTCTTTTATCTGATTCTCGTGTTTTTGTTTGTGGTCATTCAAATTTTCCCTTTCTTGATTCTCAATCTTAGGAATTGCTTTTACCAGTTTGGGCGCAAACTCCTTGTCATATGTTTCACTCTTTAATGCTCAATTTTCCTGGCCTTGCCTTTTTTTTTACTACCCTTTCTTCATTACCTCTCCTCTCTCCAATATATGCCTGAGGTAGTTCATCTTACTCTTGATGAATTTGTTGTGGAATTTTGTTCCCATCATTTCTCTACTATGGCCTATCCCTACCTTCTTGGTTCCTCTGCTGTTAGGGCTTATTAGGTAGGGATACCATTCTCACTCACATCTGCCAACCTACATCTTTTTTTCTGTGATTTTTGTCATGCTTTCTTTCTTTGCCCATAAGCTGCCCAATATCAGTTCTAGCTGTCTTCTTTGGTTTCTTGTGTCCCTGAATGACAATATGACTGCTAGCCTTTGGACATAGGACAATATCTCACTTCAAATCAATGTGCTTGAAATACTTATGGTCCACTGGGCATATTTCCATCATCTCCACTTCTTGGTGGATCATTTGGTCATGATCCATTCAGACATTTCATACATCAATGACATTGGGCCAATTTTTGTTGTATTCCTCTGATTTTCTGTCATATGTCAGGAGCTATGAACCTTATCGTGGACTACCTCTCTCAGCCAGACCACATTTTCCATATGGAATGGTCTCTCCATCCATAGGATTTTCATTAGTTTGGCACACCCCTTCATAGACGTTTTTGCCATCCTTCTCAACTCTAAAATTCCTATCTTTTGGTCTTTGGTCCGTCATCCTTTCGGCTTTGACTGTCAATGCTCTCAGCCAGGACTTATCTCACCTTTTTCTATATACCTATCCTCCTCTTTGTCTCCTATTAGGTCCTCACTTGATTTGCAACACCCCTTGCCAGGTCCTTCTTGTCTTTCTTCTCCAGCACTGCCAGTTATCAAATGGCATTATCCACCACATTTTGCATTTTCTGATACTGCAGGGTGTTTTCTTCTCCTGTCCTCTCCACTTTATTACATCCCTTCCTTCTTCACTCTCTTTCTTGCCCTATTCCTATACCTGACTGGAACCTTAATGTTGTTGTGTATACTCTTACACATGACCCTTTCAAGCCATTCGCATCTTGCACATTATACCACCTTTATCTTAAAACTTATTTCTTCCTTCTTATCGCTTGTGGATGCTGTCATTTAGATATCTGTGCCATTGATTCTTCTCATACTCTTCATATTTATATCCATCTATATCCAGATTGGTCTTTCCTTCCAAAGACTTCCACTGTTGGGGAAGGTGACTGTACTTTCTCTCCTATGATTATTCAAACCTGTACTGGTTACTGTGTCCTGTTCTCACTGTTTGATGTTACTTATCCCATACTCCTTTTGTGGCCCCCAATGTTGTCTCTTCATATCTTGGGACCCTTCGTTTTCTGTCCTTTTACCCTTACTGGATAGGTCTGTCAACTTCTTCAGATGGTATATGGTGTATGCATTATTGGATGTGATGCTATCTCTTCACGTCCAATTTGTCACCTTGTTCTCCTGCTGCTCATTTTCACCATCTGTTGGACAAGATACTCCAGGCTCGCATGTGGTCTATGTCCCACACCTTTGTCTCTCATTATTTTCACCATCTGAATGTTTTATCTTCTGTAAGTTTTGTCTTCCTCCAATTGTTATTCTTTAGTTAACCCACCATCTCTAGTAGGTAAGTACATTTTCTTGTTCAGACCCCCTTTTGTTTTTATAGGATCCTACCAGGTGGCTGGTGTCGCCTCACAGAATATATTTATCCAAAATTTACATCGAGCAAGGAGTCAGGATAACGGAAAGTGCACAGACTATCTGCCTTGGTTCTACCAATGCCCACTGTGCAATGTAGTGTTCTCAATTGTCTGATCCAAATCTTAGACTATTGTGGAAAAAGCCATCACCAGCAAAGTGATCTGTCCACTTCTAAAATTTGGCTTGTGCTTGCTGGCTTTTCAAAACAGGGTTTTGCAGTCATTCATTTCACTATCTCCAGTAAAAGACCTTTATGGCTGGAGGTTCAATGGGAATCTGGGCACTTCTCTGGGTCTCCCCAACTCATATTTTCCCCACCCTCTTTGTTGAATGGAGCAAAGGAGATCCTTGTCATTTACCAGTTCCTAGCCACCAGACCATTGAGTATCCTCGCTGGTTAGGTTTAGCACAATATGGTGAGAAGTAGGGTGGTGGTGATACTGTCAATGTAGTGTGGGTTACCCCTCTAAACAATAACACATTGTACAGAAATTGTGGTCCAAAATTAATGTGAGAGGGGGAGTTATCATTTTCAAAAGAAGCT